TATTAGCCCAAAAATACTCTGTAAAAAATTCATATTCCTCTGTATTTAATCAATTTCCCATGCTATGTTTATAAGCTTTAACTTTATTATCGTTTTCGATAAAATGTGCATAGGACCTAAGTGTCAATCGCCGTCTTATTTTTAGAGTTACTTCCCGTTGTTATGAGACGTCGCGAGGCGCTATTTTTAGCACTGGGGCACGTGGAGAAGTAAAAAAAAACTTGGTGAAAAACGCATTATCTAGAAAAAGAGAATGCTTAGAAAAAAAGGACACTTATCCAATTGTTCCTTTTTGTGTTTACTTAAAAAAATACTACCCATTCATCAGTTTTAATCATATTTAAACAAAACATTTCATACAACAGGCTACAACAATTCTTACAATTATTAATTTCTGAATAATATTGCCCTGGTTAATGTATCAATAATTTTTTTTTAATTCCTTCGGAAGATTTCTACAGTTTTAGGCAAATTCTGGTACATTTGTGAGGTAAAATACAGGATAAATCCTTTTCAATTTTAATTCTTATTTTTTTAACTTTAAACAGAGTTAGTTATTCCATCGTTTTGTGTTGCAATGGTAAAGTTTACAAATTGTAAAACCAGTCATTGTTAATGAAGATTAGGAAGTCTAACGCGCATTCGTGTTTTCGGTCACATTTTGTCTTCACGTAGCTTTCTCCATGGTTAAATTTTCAAATGTGGAGAACCCTGGTTACTTATGCTGTACTTTCAAACTTCAAACTAATGATGGGTATTAATCAGGCATTAGGAAATTAAAAGAGATTGAATTTTTTTATACCACATTTACAAGACAAATGAGTAACAAAAATTAATTAGAAAAAAGAAATAACTCTTCAGTAGTGTAAATTTTATTTGATTCTGGTATTTGTAGGATTTCCTACCTTTTTTAACAGTATAAAATTAGGACCCACAAACAGATTGTAAGTGAATTGTAGGTAATGTTTAAGCACTAAAAACACATTGGAGATAATTTAACTTGTAATCGCGGTAAATTTAGAGCATTCATTGCGTATAATAGCTATTATATGTAACCATAAATTATAATTCTATAAATGTCTCCCTATAAGTATGCATGAATATAATCGTCGGACATATTTAAGGAAAATACTGTAAATGAAAACTGTTGCGTCCTTAGTAATATGTTTACCGAGGAAGATCCAAACATTGCACCTGTGACAATATAATGACGAAGGATATCAAAAGGCGATCAAGTTTGTCTACATCATTTTTTCTGAAAAAAAATATTTTGTGAGTTCAGTGAAAGTAGGTTATTGTCAACAACCTCCGCCTGTCACAAGCTGCCGATAGAGATATATAATTTCTTCACGTTGTACGTTAATATTGAGTCATAGGTGTATAGCATCTTCTCTCATTCCATTGTTTTCGAAGGACTAATATACTAATATACTCAACCCTCTTCTCTGCAATCACGCATTTTAAAGCATATGCCATTTCCTATCTTGTATCGCACACTTAAGTGCTTGCGGGGAAATGGTAACGTTATATTTCGATGACGTGAACATTAAGTTTATGCAGCATAACAGTTCAGTAAGTAGTAAAGAGATAAATGCTTCTTGTGCATTTTCCCGTAATTTCTGAAAAAGTTGCAGAACTTCCAGAAGACATCAATTTTCAGTTGAATTAAGAAAAGTTTTGTGTTAGATATTGGTGTATGAATCACTCGTACTTGCCACATAGGTATATTTCATGAAGTGCGCTATGAAAAATATGCAATTTAAATGTATAAATATTTATTTTTTAGGGATATCAATCAAATGTAGATTCGCTAGTCGGTTAACCGAAAAACGTTTTGGCCGATTAACTGGTAAATCGCGTCTAAATCACATTGTCAAAGAACATATAGCTCTTTATGTATGTACATAAAAATTAATAAGATGAAGGAAGTCAAAAACATTATCAAAGAATATGAAGCTTATTTCGTATGTAAAAAAAATCCAACAAATGATAGAAGTTAAAAACATTTAATTTATCTTGATGTTGTATTAGAAAGATACATTTTATATATATAAAATTTCAAAATAGTTTAGAAAAAAAACAGGTTAGAAAATCCTAAAGCTAACTTAAATGGAAAATATCATGCAAGGTAAAAATGTCACAGTAATCAAAACTAAGTCTGAACTGTAGGCTTTAATTTAAAATATTTGTCTAATAATTGAATAAGATAGAGAGCTAATTACAAACTGAACACAGACCATGCCTTGGTTTAAATATTTTTTGACATATTGACCTTCATTTTGGAACAATTTTGACACAATTTTGGTAAACGTCCCCGAATTTAAACCTTAGTCATATGAGCTATGGCTATAATATTTTACTGGTGTATTCTATGTGTTAGAACCTTTCTTGGGTACACGTATTTTTGACATTTTTACTTTGATATTTGTGTTTGACTCACTTTCGAGGAAGTTTTTAAAATTTTAATCTTAACCATAACAATCTTACGGTTAAGTCAAGTGATATCATGCTCCTCAAGATCATTATTTTGACAAGACATTCTATTGAGTACCAGCAGCGATGACCTTTGACCTTGAACTTATTCATTCGACCTAGTTCTCTAATTTTGACCGTAGCTCCTGAATGGAAAGTGCTAGGTGTTTACTATTTTACCGATTTATTTCTTGTGGTAAGAGCTTCTCTTGAATACCAACATTTTATCTTTTTACATGGACCCCAGACTTGCCTTCTTTTGAAAAAAACAAAAAACAAAAAAAACCCAAAAAACAACTTTGGTCAGAACTTTTGAATGGTTGATTTTGTGACTTATATTTTACCTGAGTTCTGAAATTCCCTTGGGCATCATTGATATTGACTCCTTGACCTTGTCCAGTTTGATCTACTTTTGAAAATCTCCAACTTTGGTAATAATTATTTAACTGTTGCTGCTTTTATTGTTTTTTCATTTTTAAAAGGTGGACTCATTATGAGGACTTTTTTGGTACCAAAAATAATTTTCTCTTGACCTTGGGGTTTGACCTGCAAACGACAACATCCATCATAAGCTGCAATACGAGAACACCTTTGTTCCAGAAACACATCTTGACTTTTTATAATTAGCTCTCCAAAAAAATTTCCTATTTATTTGAATATAAGTTCCAAGTTGTTGTTTGTGATATATGTACATTAGCATTATATAAATGACTTGTCTTAACACACAAAATGGTGATTGTTCATTATTTAAGCATTAAGTCATTTTTTTTAAACAGATGTAGTTCATAATGGCAAAGGTATTTGCAGATATATTGAGTAATGCGGCAGTGCGCATAACGAAAATTTCTTTACGCAAATCGTAGCAGATATGCGAGACAGCATATTTAAAAAAAATAATGAATCAGAGCTTATATTTTACTTTTTCTAACTCCTTGTCTTGTTTTGAAAATTTGATTAATTATTAAGAATACTTCAATTATCTGTACCCGTCACGTGCGTAACAATTAATCTAAATGATTTTAGTTTTTGATTTTCGCGTATGTTTTTGTCTTGCACGCCATTGAACATTTATGCGTCAGAATAAAATGCATATTATGCATTGTGCCTTTTTTTTTTACCCCCGTTCTGTGTTTTAGTGTATTGAAATAAAATATACCCAAAAGAACAGTATCGATATTAGTCTTCGATGACGTATCTTGTGCATTCAAGAGCAGAAAATTTTAAATTTTGTTCTTTTTTTAAATGATTACCTGTAATAAAAGAAATTGATTTTCAGAAAATGTGATTTTTAAAAAATTTAAGCTAATACACTAGTATCACTGTGAATAAAGTATCATTACGTGTCTTAACACACGTAAAATTCAAGCTATTAAATATATTTAGGTATAATTAGGTTTGTAGAAAGAAATAGTCAGTACTTCTGAGGTCAACTATCTAGCTTATTTTCTCCATGATATAAAAAAAAAAATACTAACATCCATTTAAGCGGTTTTTGTATAGTAGATGAATGAATAAATGGATAATTAATGCCCATCTATTCAAAGTACCGCATGGATGGAAAAAGATAGATGTATGTGTATAAAGAAGCATTATCTTAGACGCACTGTACTGAAAAACATGAACATTAAATATACCTAATATCTTTTTAAAATAAATATCTTTAGAAATGAAAATAAATGGCGGACACACAGTACAGCGTATTGCCCATGTGTCGGATTAAAAGTTTCCACTGTAATAGGTTTAACAATAAATCAATAACAATCCAAATTCTTCGTCCAGGCATCTTCATTTATCAGTGTTTGTAAATAAAAACAAACTTTTTCTAAATTCAAATTATAAATTACATCTTTTACTAAATACATTCAGTAGAAAAAAATACAATAATTTATTGCTTTAAAGAATTGTTCAATCCCCCTTCTTTTACCGACAAAAATATATGTTAACAAGTTTGCCACTTGGCCATGGTCTTAAACATTATTTAAAAAAAGAACACTGCGATAAAGATTTTTTTTAAAATCCTTTGATGGATGATCTTTCCTCTGTAAAAAAAAAATTAATTAATGTGTTATGGAAATAATAGCATATTTTTTTTTTGAAAAATATCTTCATACCACTGGAATTTTTCTACGGAAATACAAAAAACTGGTAATTATGATTTAATGAGGTTTACCTAGTGACGTCTGATCATCATGGTTGTCTCCTTCACTGATGTCCCACTCTTTACTGTAGGATTCCAAGGGTAGTTCCACAATGCCGGAGACCACTGACCGTTATATAAGGAAGGCGTGGTGACAATCATTGAACCACCAGCCTCCTCTGTAGACAGCAGCACAGTTACAGCTACACTCGTCGTTATCTCTGTCCGGGGTGGAGAAGTACATCCCAGACAGATCAGCTGAAGAAACCCCGGTGTCTAACATAGCGTCTCGTGTAAAATTAAATAAAAGGAATCACAGAGATAATCCATTTATATTTCATCAATTTGATTTTCAATAACTATGCTGAGGTACTTCTAAGAAAGACGGCTTTAGGTGCTGGAAAGAGCGATAATTTTTAATTTGTTCAGTCCTAAAATCACCGGTTTCTATCATACTGGCACTTGCATAATTAGAGAAAATATAGAACAGATATAATAATTATTAATTTATAGCTGTACAACACATTCCTGTAATTATTTAAATACTGAAGTAAATCCGAGATACGCAGTTTAACGTATTGTTTCCTGTAAAGAGAGACAATTTAGGAAGATTTGATCACGTGCCAAGCCGTTTTACATCCCAATAAAACTAAAAAAAATGATAGTACCTTATTACTTATATTTACATTTGTGACTTATTCATACTTTATATCAGAGATCAAAACACAGCGCAATTCATATATCACCCTTCCTTAAAAGTATGATTTTTTTTTTTTTTGGGGGGGGGGGGTAAAGGCCACTGGAAATATTAGAAAACATGGAAAATTAAAAAAATAATATCGGTCCAAGACCGTGCCTTTTAAAATGTATTAAATGCAATACTTAGTAAATCGTTCAGAATTAATCGAGATAAGATATGGTGTATCTGTAAATGTTTTAAAATATTAGATTCTCATAAAATAAAGCATGGGCATGTTAAATGTGAAGCGCGCTGTGGTGTTTTGAATTTGGATTTTTAAAACTTTTTTTATTTGAATATGTATCCGATCAAATGCATTTTTTATCATCAAATTTTCTTAAACTTTTCGACATTTAAGATAAATGACGCTCTGTAACCTCCTATTCCGTAGTAGTAAAAAATGTGATGTATTGAAAATCAGACTACATTTTCATTTGATAGAGAAAAGGTATAGTAAATGTGAAATACGTTGCGGTGTTTTGAATTTGGCTTTTTTAAATTTGAATTTGTTAGCGATCATTTTGTGAAGATGTCGATATTATAAATCAATTACACTCTGTAAAATTCTTTTTCCGTAGTAGTTTAAATGTGGATTATTATAAAAAAAAATGAGGAAACCCAGGCTGTAAAGGTTTACAGGTGAAACCAAATTTCAGAATATGTTACCTTGGTGCTAAAAGTGTAATATAAACTTTAAAGCCAGGTAAATTTCATGAGGAAAAACAAAATGACAAATCAGCAATATCGCATAGGCTGACTTTTATCATTTTGCTTTTCCTAATTAAATTCACCTGGCTTGGTATATTTTTCTAAAGTTTTCTTTACACTTTTAGCATCGAAGTAACATAATCCTTTACTGAGTGTGATTGGACTGTATTTGTTTTTTTTTATTGAAATGTTACGAATATTTTCCGAGTCCTTTTCATTTTCCAGTTCTTAAAAGAAAGAAATCAAAGAATTATCCACTGATCTAAATTTGTAACATGATATTGAGTCCTCTCCAAAGAAAAAAAAGTTTGTATCATCTGTCCTTAAAATATATATTTTTAGCGTCTTGACAATAACAAATTAAATGTCTGCTGAGTTATACCTGAAAATGATATTCTGAAATATTAAACATGTTTTTCTAGTGTGGAATAAAAGGTGCATACAGAATATCAGAAAAAACCACATCTTTCTCTTTTTTCAACAACTGAATAATCTTTCAATACAGAAAAGCATAATTAGGATTTACGTATTTTGAACCCAATTTTGAGAACTTATCTTGAATACGTACCTAAGGTCCCCGTAGCAGGTCCTGCAAGAAAGAGTTGATATTTTCCTGTTTCATCGGAAACAGAGAATCCGTCGTACATTTCATAAAGCGTTGTACCATTCTGTAGAGTTATGGTCACATACAGGAATGAGGTACCTTCTTTTGTTAATTGATGGATTACGTCATTTCCTGTATTAAGATATTTAAATTCAGCTGAAAAGTCCATTGCAATACAATTATTTCTATTAAAAATATGAATCTACCGTAAAGAAAAATCAAAATATTTTTCTTACCTGCAGACAATAATGCTAAATATGGGCTCATTAAAATATGCCGCTAAATATGTAATTATTTGAGATACATGTGATTTTCGTGTGGAACCCATACATGTATAACCTAAGGTGAAATTCAGATCTTTTTTCCGCTTTAATTTTCTACCTGCCAAAAGATTTTATTTCCTGCAAATTTTGAAGGAATAACAAGTTCATATCTGGAAGCAATTTACACTTACCAACCCAGACATTCCGTTCCGGTGAACCAAAACCATTCTTATATTCTTCCCAGTTCCTGTCAAAGCTCTCGGATCCGTCTACGCGTTTCTGAATCACCTTTCAAAATTTACATGCATAAAAATTCAATGTATTGCTTCGAACCATCATATAATCACATATTATGAAATGAACTCAAAATATTCACATTAATTTTTATTTTTCAATCCTTAAAACAATGTGATTTATATTATATATTTTTAATTTTAAAATAGATTACATACCGTCCATCCCCCGCCCATTGTCGACATGTCACAGAAAACATTGACAGGAATGGCTAAGGTACCGTAGGGGTATATATTATACACCCCTGTACTGGTTTGGCCATCTTCACAAAGATCATTACAATCTTTAGGCATGACAGAAAAAATGCAATCTAAAATAAATGCTGGAATCATATTATGTATATGTACAAGAAGTGAGAGGATATATAATGCCTGCTTGGTATATAAACGTTAACTGTTGAAGCTTAAATGTTACTACATGTACAATGCAAATTATATCAAACTGTTTCCCAAAATTAAAATTAAATTAAATTAAAATTAAATTCAATTATTTTGATACTCTGTCGATTGAAAGAAATTTTAAAGGGGGGATGCATTTGTAGATCAGATGATAAGCCAAATGACAGTAAAATAGATGTTAGAAAATCTTGTAAAATCATGATATCTACTTTTTTGTATGATATAATGTATAATGTATGTGAAATTCAACATTTCGTAAATTATAAGATCGATACAATGACCAAGTTTTTCAACAAACTTAATCGCATCAAATTCAGACTCGCGTCTGTAACAGATTGTAAGGCCTTTATTTTCACAATGAATTGTCCTAACACTTTCCGTTTTCCAGATCAGTACAGTCGTCACACGGCGAATCTGACCGATCGACAGAGGATGTTTACTCCTCCATGACACAGGATTCACATCTCAGCTTTCAGGACAGCTGTTTTCAAGATAGCAATTTCGAGGAACTAGTTTAAAGTGAGCTTTTTCGATTATGTAGTAAAATACAAGCTATAATTTTCTATTGGCTTAGAATGATCATTGTCACAAAGCTTAAATGAATATTATTATTAAATACTCACGGTATGAGAATTTAATCTTATGTTTTCCATCACATACTAAGAGATAATAAGAATAGAAAAAAAGAGAATAGAGGAAATCACAAATTATAATTCAATCAATCTCAAATTAATCACTAATTCAAATTTTTTTCAAAATTACGAAAAAAATCAGCAAAGAGATAAGAATATTAAAAGAAGAGTCAGAGAAAGAAATCAAGTACACGACATTTCTTCATTTGAGGGTTAAAACCAAAGAAGACGCACTCCCTTTGACACATCGCGGCACACTTGGCCAATGATTGAGAATTATGTTCTCCCAAAAGTTCGTAATTTGATCTCTTATCATTAAATTCCAGTTTCGCTGTAAAATTCTGAGAAAAAATGGTTGCTTCAGATATAGCTAAGAAACCCACAATTAAGGAGACGACACACTGACTGCTCATTTTTGTTTGCTTTTTTTCTCAAGAAAAGAGTTACTTCTGAGTTCCTGTGAATTTTTGCTAAATGGTATTTCAGCAGCCAATTATATATATATCCGTACCTTAATCAATGGCTGAAAAGTGATTGGCTTAGCGTTATGTACAATGTACTCCTTTTTTTTTACAACTGTATAGGTATCGATTTTATTGAAGTTAACACGAATTGTCTTGAATATTAACTTTGCAATTTCAATCTAAAATATCACAATTTAAAAAAATGCTGTTTGTCACATTATTTTTGCCTCAAATGTTAAGATATTGGTAAATGCTTTTTCAGTTAGCTATCTTTGAAATACTTTAGTATCGAATTTTTTATACAAACTTGCTTTACGCAATATAGAGCTCTTACTCTTAATGTAATTTAAATTCATCTTTTTCGGAATTCAAAGTACAAATAAAGTAACAATTAACTAATTCTCAGAATACACTAGGAATCTATTTATAGCATTAACTTCTAAACGTCAATGTAACACATAAAATCATCATAGGTATAATTACTTTTGAATTTTATTTTTGGACAACAATCCTGGACACACCTTAGAAAAAATTTCATATAATTTGTAATCTACAATAATAAAAGGGTTCTTCAAGGTGCTTCAAAGGCGATTTAAAAATCTTTCATAAAAGTTTTTAGGGTACATGCTCTGAATAAAGGGCTGTATATATTTACAAAATACGACTCGTGGTAGATAGATTATACGGAAACTTTGTTATGAAACTCAAAGTCATTTTATTTACATTTAAACTCCACCTAGAAACAGTCCTGCTTGTGGAGTTATTTTTGTTTTATTTATACTACTTAGAGTCGTGCTCTTCATGGTTCTTTTTAAAAGCATTTTATTGTTCATATGGATTTTTTTTTTCTAAACGAGTAGAAGTCTTCCGTGATAAACTTGTCCTTAATGCTTGCTATAAAGCAGGCACATGAAGAGTGATTTAGAATAACTGACGTGTCATATCATTGTTTTTTGTCCTGTTAAACAAAAACGCTAGTTATACCACCGCTCCGGATGTCACTGTGTGGTACAGAACCCGGTTTACTGGGCACATCCAATCATAAAGTCAATTCATAAAGTTATATATAACAAAGGTAAAATGACTTCACTATAGATATAAAACTTCAACTAAACTCTTCAACGAGAAAGTTTTTATATTTTTCAAATACCTATCATTTATAATTTCATGGTGTTAAGATTTACCAGTAAAATAATTTTAAAAAAAATGAATAAAATTTCATTATTTCTTTAAACAAATATCTATTATTTCCTCAATGTTTTGACTACACTGATATGTGTACCCTTATGGAATACAACACCGGTACTTTTATTGAAAATAAAACTAGAATTTGGAAGACATGTATCTTTATTTTGATAAAGTTTATCATAGTTACTTCCAATCCCAATTGACTTTTGGTCCCATTCCACTGTCTGAAGCACCTTAGATATACAAGTGAAAGTTGGTGCATTCTACTCCTTTCGCTGGTCACTGTATTTTATTGAAAACGACGTATACGTTAAAGTAGAAAGGATAAATCTATACCTAACTGCGCTCCTATGTTCAAAAATTGTAAAAATTAAGGTAAGCCTTTCCCATTCTATGACCAGATCGACGAAACTTTTCTGACATACTAGTAAGAATATATTCCTTTGCTTATTGAGGCAACTGGTGTGACTTTTTTACCGACTTACTAAGTTGTATAACGAATGCATACCACATAAATACGTCGATTTTTTTTCTCTGATAGACATGCTTTTATTCATTTCAGTCAAAGATTGAACCCCAATCATTTCAAAAAGTGATTTATGAACATGAATTTGTATTATTTTATAGTTTTTAAGATGCTTGGTGAGCAATTGGTACTTGAGTTTCCGAGTATTAGTAAATACGAGGGCCGTTCAAAAATTACGCGGACTGTGCTATTATTTATTCTTACAGACGTCATTTAGTTATGGAATTTCACAGAAATATGTATCTTAAAGATTCCAATAAATTTTGGGCCAAATTTCTGTATTTAAAAAAAAATCTACTAAGATTATCAGTATGTTGATATCGCTGAAATAGAGGTAAGGAGCACGAAAAAAAATTGAAGCAAAAGCACGCGGAATCGAAAATTTAACCCAAAAATTTTCTATAATCCGCAATTCTTTTGACAATTTTCTCAAATGTATCTTGAAATATTTCTATCATAATGTATTTAGATTTCTGACGTGGTATTTGAAGTACTAACAGATATATAGTGATTTTTCTCTGATGCGATTCCCGTGAAAACGACTGTGAAAATATCGTCTCCTGAATTGTCGGCGCGCCACACTTTTATTATAAATCATGTTTTATGCTAGGAATATCGCCAACATAGATCCAAAATATGAATAAAAAACATATAGTAAACTAAGGTATTTGTGACATTCGTCCACAAAAAGCAAATTGAAATTTTAGAACAATAGGCCTCTGTAAAAAGGCTATACGGTAGGACGGGAAGATTATCGACGAAAACTTTATCCGGACTGTAAAGAACGTGATTGAGAGTCATCAATATCACACTACATGTATACCTCATAAATACCTGCAGTTTTTGCTTTTAAAACAGAAAAAGAATATTCCTTACTTGTTTAATAAATTTTACGCTGGACAAGAAATGTATTTGGATGTTGAGTAGATAAGGTAACTCAAACTGTACAGGTACTCTTCGGAAAATATTGAGAAAATGAAAGCTCAATAACATGTTTTTATAATGCCTGTGACGTCGAAGGTTTTGCTGCTCCGTGGCTTAATGATATGTCCTGAAAAATCACTCAAAATTGATACCAATTTACAACATTTTGATATGGAATTTTGAAGACCATATAAGTAAAGATTCTTTTATATTATGTGCGATTATGTCGTCATTTTTTTCAGTGCAACAAGTCCGCGTAATTTTTAAACGGCCCTCGTACAAGTTCAACGTGCATTTCTTGGCTTAAAACGATAACCGCTTAGGTTCTCTGTGTATTATCTTGTATTAAAAAAAGTTTGATTACTATTGTAAGTTTGGAATGTAGACAACATAATGTGCCTATTGACCTAATCCATGTGTTTCTGATAAAAATGTAAACAGATAGTAAACCGGTATGTTTTGTCGCTCAGTCATCGCATTCGACAATGTTTTCTGGTAGATTCACTGGACATGCATACCCCTTAATTGTACTTATACCTGCATATCCTCTATTCATGAAAGAACATTTTATCACAAACCAGGCTGAATGTTGTTGTTATGGGGTTTAAAAGTCATTGAAAATGCAATAATCATCATAATTTTAATGTGTCGGAAGTATTGAAACTATGTAAAAGGCGTCGTGATTATTCACTATTGCTTGAAAACTATTCAAATCGTCGTAGAATAAATATAATTTGTACTATATTAAGGCGGCGCGGACAGTATTTTGGCTCATCATCCCTAACAAATCTATATCATTCGAACAAAGGAAGTACAACTTATGAAATATAATTTATATTAAAGCAATTATTTAAAGTCATTTGATAAATATGCATGCTCAGAGCACTCAATTGTAGGGGAACTTTTCTTTCACAATAAATATACACTGTATGTGAATATATTCTTTAATAATACTTAAAAACATTATGACAAATTTTAATTATCAACCAAACTCGGCGTTTTTAATATCTTCATTAGAATCTTATTGTTTTAAACAGAAAACTGAAATTCCAGCGAATTTAAATTAATATGCCATTGCTTATTACGTTAAAACTTCATTTCATAGATTATGTATATAACAAAACAAATATACGTACAAATTTTAGCATCAAATACAATGCC